GACAGCAGGCTGGCTTATTACTATCCAAGTTCCTATTAAAAGAAGTACAGTTTTTATCAACAGTCTCCTAAATTGACAGCTCTGACCAAACTCCTGTGAGAGTAGAGAAAGCAGAAAGGTAAGTCTTTTACAGATTGGTGCCATCATAAAACTTGAAGACTTGAGACGAGATCTCTGGTATGATAGAAAAGAAAGAGAGGCAGGCCCACCATTGTCAGGCACAGACTCAAAGACTTAACCACAGGAAACGGTACGGCAGTATAGTTCATCAAGGGTGTCCAATCTTTTGGTTTCCCTGAGCCACACTGGAAGAATTGCCTTGGGCCACACATAAGATACACTAACATTAATGATAGCTGATGAGCTAAAGAAAAAAAAAATCACAAAAAAATCTCATAATGTTTTAAAAAAGTTTACAAATTTGTATTGGGCAGCATTCAAAGCTGTCCTGGGCCACATGTGGCCTGTGGGCTGTGGGTTGGACAAGCATGGTTTAATTAGAAAAGACTTCCATCTTCCATCCCATCCCAATTCCTGTATGTATTTGCTAAAGTGTATGTGTATGCTGTGGTATTTATGCTTCCTTACAATTCTAGCTATGATTAATAGCTATACTTCAATATTATTCTTATTGGCTATAATTATAATTCTTCTGTGGGGTGGTCTAATAAATTCTAACCAATAAGCCATGTGATTCAGAAACTTAAAAATACATAGTCACCTTTAATACACACGTTTAATTTAACTAGCATTTTTTTAAATCACATAACTGATATAATTGAATGTTGTGTTTTAAAACTATTTTTAAAATGAGATGAATCCGTACATGTTGATATAAAAAGACATCCATGTTAAATGACAAAAACAAAGTATACAGCTGTATTATAGAATTCAATCCCTTTTGTGAAAATAAAAAGTGAGATATATACTTAAGCTGGTGGATACCAAAACATTTTTCTGGGAAGATATGCAAGACACTTAATAATGGAGACCTCTGGGAGGACAGGAACACTGGAATGAGAAGAAAAGCTTTAAATTCTAATTTTATATGTTTCTGTACTGTTTGAAGTTTTTAACAATGCCCACAGTATTTTTAAATCAATCAATTATATATTTAACACAGGATTATCTAAGTGTAGGATTATGACCCTTTTTTATACATTTCTGCATTTCTATAAAACCCTAATAAATAATATTTTTATAAGATCACCATTCTCCACACTTGAATCCCTTCTTATTGAAACATCCACCTGGCTTATCTTCCTCAAGATACTATACTTTGTTTTCTTACGTAAATGAGGAAAATAATGCCTACTTGGCAAGTTAGTTATAATGATTAAATGAGATAAAGTATGTAAAATGTCCAGTAGAGTACCCAATACATAGTAAGCACTTAATAAATGTTATTATTTCCAGTGGAAATTGTTTTTTCACCCTGCACATATATATTCACTCTTTTCCTACCTAAAAAGAATTTCTCTTTAGAACAACCACTTCCTCACTGTTAGCCTATGTGGCATGAGGCCCAGACTTAAGCCAATTAGAGCATTCCATTCCCTTTGCACAGACTGTTTCACAGGTGGCCCAGAACTTTTATTCAAATCAATGCTGGGGAAGAGAAACTCTCATTCCCCTTGGATTTTAATTTTAGAAGATATGTGGCTGGAGTTTCTGTAGCTATCTCACCACAACAAAGGAGAGCCTAAAGGTGCTAGAGGCCATCATATGGAACCTGAAAATAATGCTAAGACAATGGAATTCAAAGCGAGGAAAGTAACCAAATCCTTGTGTCTTTATTTGAACCCTTAATCCAGTTATAGTCACCTGACTTTTTAGTAATAGGAGACAATATTTTTTTCAAGACAATTTGGATTGAGTTTTCTGTCACTTGTAATCTAGGGTCCAACCCTAGACATTACTGTAATTACTTCCTCTTCTTACATTCTAAAAATGAACATTTTCTCAATATCCTTGGTCTGATGCTAGCTTCTCTCTACTTACAATCTTTAAAACCTAACCTATTTTTAGTGTTCCAGTTATTCTTATAACACTATCCATTTTATTTTCTCTCTTAAGCCATACTCTCTACCTCTACTACTTGTTGAATAGATCTTTCCAGAATTCCAACCTACAGAAATAAAAACATACTTATCTTTCAGAATGATATTTGCAAAAAAGAGCTGTTCTGCGTTTTTGATGATAAGTTATATGTGTTTCAGTAATATTAATACACCAAGGGGTTTATATTATCAGGAGAAATATTCACTTCCATCTGTACTATGTCTATATCTAATTGATTATAATCTTGAACAATATTCTCTAAATATTTATACAATACTTTAATTCACATTAACTTTGATTAGTTAATATCTAATTTATCTAAATATTTACAATTATAAACTTAATCTTTTAAAATATTTACTTATAAATCTAATTTCAGCCTTTCTGAAATGTTATGACATTAGAAAGCAAACAAAACACATATTGTTAAAATGATGACAAAAGCTTGCACTTAAAGAACTGAAGACTTTAATTCTAATTCCAATTTTTCTCTTTGAACTTTTTCTTATTTCTTCATGTGGGGTATAATTTTACTTTTCTAATGTAAAAAGTGAGGTTTTCTTTCTAAGACTGCCGGAATTTGTAGGTAAAGATTACTGGCAGATCATTTTAGACTAGGAAGATAAGACCTGGTTATATTAATACTTTCCAAACTGATTGTAAACCAGTCTTTTCTAGGTAGACCAGCTTTTCTTTGTAATTAAACTCTGTTAATTTCATGAAACATGTCCAAAATATTGGCAACAATCAACCAAAAGGCTTTATTTCTTGTGACCCTAATATCGTCTCAAAAATTATGCTTATTCTCAGCCAGGCGCGGTGGCTCACACCTGTAATCCTAGCACTTTGGGTGGCCGAGGTGGGTGGATCACCTGAGGTCAGGAGTTCAAGAACAGCCATCAGAGTGAAACCCCACCTTAAAAAATAAATAAATAAAAGAAAAAAAAATTATGCTTATTCTCAATGTCTTATTTTTTGTGGTATGTATACACCTCCAGATTTAACTCTACTCTGAAGCTGTTTATGTTTTCTCATTATACAACCTGGTTTATGCCACTTTTGAAAATATTTCTTCTGCATGGGCAATGGTTAGGTTTAATTAAATTTAAGGCCATCAGTCAGTTTATTCATCAAAACTATACTTCTGTGTAATATCATTCTTTCTATACCGTTATCAATAATTCAAGGATTCACAAAGAATACTATGTGACTGACTTCAAGGGTTTATACACTGAACCATCACAATCTACAAAAGCTATAGATTTTTTTTCCCAAAATGACTTCAGGTTTTTTTCCATCCTACTTTGTAGGCACTTCTCACTTACTGTTATCTAGTAACAATCTTAACTAAAGCCTAGACTGAGCTCAGTTTCCTTCCCCTTTAACACATTCCACATAACTACTGTTAATCATTCTTCCCTATATTTTACCAAGTCATTCCTTAGCTCAGAATTGTTCTAAAAGCTGTTTCCTCCATATCGTATCTAACATCCTTGATTTGGTTTTCAAGATCCTTCAAAAGGTACACTTCCTCTAACTTGATATCCCTTATTCATCCTTAACACACCCTAATAAGTTCAATGTCATAAACACAGCAAAATCAAATCTTTATGCAATGTGTGCTAGATGAATAATCATAAACAGTACAATGAGACAGGTATTATATACTGGTTTCATAAATAAATACTCTCAAGATTGACAAAGTGAGGAAACTGTCAAGCATATACCTCAAAAATGATGGAACTTGTGACTCTGTTTTCTATATTACATTTTTCCACTACATTGTGCTGTTTTAGCACACCAGTCGATTTGGTCTATTCTTTATTTTTTTCATAGTTGATACCTCTCTAACTCAGGCTTTGTCGTGTTCTACAACCTTTGGAAATGCAAAACTTCCAGAAGCCCTCAGAGATAATCCCTGTATCTTCTTGGTATGCTTACCAGCTAAAAAACTTTTTTTCATTGAGCATGACTTTCTATAGTTTGTTTTATGAGAAAACAACAATTATTTTTTAACTTCAAACATAAAGATATATCATGATATTGAGTCTATGCTTATTCAAAACACATCAGTCTCCCAACCTCACCGAATTCTTACAATTGGTTGGCAGAGGGTGGCTCTGCACCCCTTTTCGAGAATCACTAAACCTGACTTCATGCTCTTTGATGGAAGAACCATAATATATTTAAAATGATTATGTAAATTCATTCAAAAAGCAGATTTATTGATGCTTTAATATGCCAGCCCCTCAGTAAGCAAAAGTTAAAGAAAAAAAAAAGGAGGCTAGTTCTTCATGTCAAGTACTTAAAAGTAGTTGCATAAATACTGGAGATAATCAAATGAGCTGGTAGTTCTTTAACAATGCAGGGAATTGGGAGCCAAGTATGAGATTCTGATGAAAGCTGTAGGAACACTAACTCTCCAGAAAAATGCACATAGAATTATGTATACAATTTTCGGGGAGTTATGAACTCTGAAGCCCAATCATCTTCAGATCCACAGACCCCAGGTTAAAAACCCACTAAAACTAACCTCTCAGGAAACAGTAATTGCCAAACTTCCTTAATAATCCTAATTATGCCTTATCCAATGTAATGTATACAAAAGCTACTTAAGGAATATTTGCTGATCGATAATACCCTCATAAAAATAGAACACTGGTAAGTCGTTTTTTTCCATTACAGAGCCTTTTAGTAAAATTATTTTAAAAGTCCGAAACCTTTCACTAGTAACACCAATGATCTAAAACCAGTAACTCGAAAATCGTTATTGTGCTACTCACATGTGGACTAAGCTATCACTAATCCAGGTCTTTTCCTAATTGTCTCTCTACTCCCTTCAAACTCAGGGGCTTCCTCCTTCTCATCCCAAAAGCTACACCCAGAGCCCCCGCTGCCGCCAGCGAAGACAAAAAAATGATGCTCCACGAACCACACACCTTCAAAACAGGAAATATGGGGATCCAGTGACGGCTACAACTTCCAAACTCTTTTCTCACCACGTCTAGAGTTGACGAGATTTACCTTAAGTTCCAGGAAAGCGGTGGCAATGGCTCACAAATAGTTGGTACCAGTTACCAAGAAGCCTCCGGATCTCCCCGTCACCATAGTGACTTCTAAGAGTTACGCTCCCTTCGTCTTCCCGCGATACTTCTACGCGCACGTCATCCGACTGGGGCCGAGACCCCGCCTCTCAGGGAGCCCGCCTTCTTCTGAAGAGGCGTTTCTGGACCCCTGAGCCCCGCCTCCTGCTGGGAGCAGAACTCTACCCATTTTTTAAAATCTTTTCCAAAATTTGCCAGGTTGTTTTTCCAAATATTTTTAATAATAGTGCTGCTACTGTAGACCATAAAGAAAACAATCCCTCGCTGTTTTCACTTAGTATAAACTTCCATCGCCTAGGGCCCGCCAGGATTTCGCGCATGCGCAGGAACGACTATAAGATGGCGGTGATAATCGCCGCACTTTTTTTCAAATTAGTGGATCCCAGAAATCATTGCGCGCATTTGTAACGAATTTCCGTTCGAGTTTGTATTTTAGGCGCCATTTTCGAGTGAAGGACCCGGAGCCGAAACACCGGTAGGAGCGGGGAGGGGGTGATACTACACAACCGTCTCCAGCCTTGGTCTAAGTGGACTGTCCTGCAGGTAAAGTACTTCTCTTCCTGGTCAGGTTGTCACGCTCTTACTTCCTGTCTTGTCCGTGGGCGCCTGGAAAATAGAGGCCTTGAGCCGGAGCAGCGAAGTCCGGGCTGAGGCTGCAGCTGGGAGATTTCGCTTGCTGTCACCCCTCCCCCCTCGGCCGCTCCCCGGCCGCCCGGGCTCCCGCCCGCTGCTCCCGGGCGCCACTTTTCCGAGCTACTCAAACGTCTCTCAGGGAGGTTCCGAGTCTCGCAGATCTGTTCTAAAAAAAATATTGGTCTCTATCTAGGAAAGGGCGTCTCCCCCTACCCCTCTGTCCTCTGCCAAGGGACTAGTTACCGGGTCTCAGCCTTCGTTGGTGACCTTTCATGGTTTACTGTCCAACGGGAGGGACTCCGCCCGGGGAGCAGGTGAGACAAACTCGTGCCACCCCAAAATTAGTGAGCAGGCGCTGCCAGTGTCCGACTTGAAGTTGCTAGTGGTTGGTCCCAGCCTTCGCCCTTCGCGGTTCGGACTGCGGAGAGGAGGGAGACCTCGTTATGCCCCGGGCCGTCCACGGCGCCAGGAGCTAAAGGGCGGGCAGAGGAAAGCGGGCGGCGAGTCGCCGGTTAGTCCTCACTGCTCTCGAGAGTTGTTTGCCACTGGATCCTGACCCTGACACGAACTCGTCTCTCCAAGTCGGATCCCTTGCATCCCTGGCCCCTAGAGCGTGGGAATGTCAGGAAATGCCAGCGTATTGGAGTTCCTCCGTTAGAAATACGTTAGCGAGCATTACACGCTTGTACGGTGGGCGGACGGTTAGAGGGTCCTTAAAAAAAAAAAAAACCTATGCAGTTGCTCAATTATTGATTGATCCTCAGGCACGTCTAGGTTTTCCCACTTACATAGGTCTTGTTAAGAAACCAGTCCTGCCTTCTTGCCACTTGCGTCTTTCGGTGGCGCCTTCACGAAGTCCCGCTGAGCGGGGTGTTAAACGGGGCTCTCGGAAGCCGGTGGACCGAGGTTTCCCCGGGTGGGACGGGCGGTGCAGCGGCCCGCGGGCTGACTTGCTCCCGGCTCTCCACTGGCACCAGCGACCATGCCCCGTAAAGGCACCCAACTCTCCACGGCCCGGCGCAAAGAGGGAGGGCCGCCGCCGTCCCCTGACGGCGCCAGCAGCGACACGGAGCCTGAGCCGCCGTCCGGCTGCGCGGACTGCCCACCTACCGCCGCAGGTGAGTGACCCGTCGCGACTCGGCAGGAACGCGCGCCCAGCCAGAGGTTGGCTGAGGTTATTGAGCTCGGGCAAGAGGCTGCGGGGTTGACGTCTAAAGGTCCGGTGTTTGTCCCGTAGAGCAGCTCAGGAAAGCCATTTGATGACTTTGAGATAGGACTCCTGTGCAATTTTGGTGTAATGGCGTTGAAGAGATGGGGGCAAGCAAAAGGGTTCAGTTGTGAATTTTTGTGACCTTTTGGAATGGTACATCTTTATTATAGTTCTGCTAAAATCGAGTCGGTCAGTCAAGAGCAAATGGGCTTTTTTTCCAGAGAAAATCGGTATGACTATATAAGCATGATGAAAAGTTGCTTGACCCTAACCTCACCTCCGTGGTCTTAGATTGCCTTTATAGAGAAGACGATAATTTATTTGAAACTACTGTAGCTTTTGTGAATCCAGGAGTTAGGTGACATTGTGAAACCCCTATGGCAGTGCCCCCGAAGTTCATGTGCTTCCAAAATGAAGGTTCCAGGTGCTCAGAGGTAGCGGTACGGAGAATTGGATCTAGAGCCTTAGAATTAACCTCCTGTTTAGGATAGCAGGAAATAAGCTTGCTACTGTTTTCCCAGATTTGCTCTATGATGTAGTGTTTTGACTCTAACGAGGTATAGGTGTTTAGAATTTTGTGGCAGGTGGCATTTCTTTCAAGAATTGCTTTTTTAATGGAAACCAAGCTGAAGGTTTAGATTCTCACCCCCATGAGTTTAAGACAATAACATATCTAAGTGGAAAATATAGACTGCTGAGTTTCATAAACAGCATCCCTCAATCCTCTACTTTAAAGATGGGCAGTCATTAGTTCTTCAAACTAATTTCACTAATGTAGGCTTCCCCCTGCACCCCCTTTGCCTTCCTTTTTCTTTCCTTCACTGACTTAGAGACTGCAAGTGAGGAACTTGATAATAGAAGTTTGGAAGAGATTTTGAGTAGCATTCCTCCTCCCCCGCCTCCAGCAATGACCAATGAAGCTGGAGCTCCTCGGCTTATGATAACTCATATTGTAAACCAGAACTTCAAATCCTATGCTGGGGAGAAAATCCTGGGACCTTTCCATAAGGTATTTGTATGGAAATAACTATTGTATAACTTTTAAATAACTATTGTAGGGTAATACGTCTTTACAAGGTGTTTCAGTTTTGTAACTGTCCTCTCTATGCTGATAGTCATATTCATTGTGTCTCTGTCTCTCTGTCCGAGTCTGTCTTTCTCACACACATGATCTGTTCATATGATTTTAACAACTGAAATTATCTTTTGTTTATCTGGTTATCTTTGGCACCTAGTCTAGCTATAAAGTTTTCCATTGAATGGAGTCGGTATGTTTTTGTTTGAAAGAGTATTTTCCTTTAGATAATTTTTTTCCTGAATAAATCCTTTATTGGAACCGTTAAGTAATTTATTACAATGAGTTTTTTTAAAAGTCTGCGTTAGCATTATAGCGTTCTTATTGAATGTTGAAGCTTGTAAGAGAGAACATGGTATAAGAAAACTCCAGTTGTATGCCTGTGATTAGAAACGACTTTTAAATACTTGTGATTTTACTACAAAAAAACAATCTAACAGTTTAAGTTAAAATCAGTAGTATTAGCATGACCTTATGCCTTTGCGTGTTTTTGGTTTTGTTTTTTTTTATGCAGCGCTTTTCCTGTATTATTGGGCCAAATGGCAGTGGCAAATCCAATGTTATTGATTCTATGCTTTTTGTGTTTGGCTATCGAGCACAAAAAATAAGATCTAAAAAACTCTCCGTATTAATACATAATTCTGATGAACACAAGGACATTCAGAGTTGTACAGTAGAAGTTCATTTTCAAAAGATAATTGATAAGGTAAGGGATTTTTACTATTTAGTTACTGGCAAGTTCAAGTAAGGAAAATGGACTTAGATGCATAGTATATTTTATTATTTTTGGCTTAAATTGGTTTTAAGAAATCTGTATGTAATTATAGCACAACGTATTGGTTTCATACTGCTATGACCATATTTTATTTTTGGGGAGTGGTGATGCCTGTTAAAATATTAATTTTTTTAGCTAAAGAAATGAATTATAAATAGTTCATAGTAATCCTTTAAGGAATAAAAGCATTGAACAGTTTTAGGATCCCAGTACAATATAGGCATTATTTTACTGAAAATACTGGGTTCATTTTTAAAGCGATATTTTGGTTGCTTTAAAACAAATCAGCTAAACTTGAAAATGTAGCAGTTGGCTAGTTTTACTGTCTTCATTATTTTAATGTGTTTTAACTTTAATGTTAGTGGCCCCTGAGTACCTGTGATACGAAAGAGCTTTGCCTCAGTTTGACTACTACTGTGATTAAGTCCTTTTGAAATTGGGGAAGGGCAAGCTAATGTTTGTTTTCTAGAAATAGAGACAATAATAGGTAAAGTGTCTAGATTATTTACATAGTTCTGTTGATACTTTTTCTCTTCTGTTTAATAATATGGGAAATTGTTCAGAAATGACTCGAAACTATATGACCATTTTTCTAAAAGTACAGAAAACTACATAATGAAATGGGGAGGTAATTTGGCTTTTGAATTTCGTTTTCCTTTTTTTTTTTTTTTTTTAANAATATAAAATGCTTTAATTGAACAGAATCATCTATTTTAATTTGGTTTCTTTTCTGCTTTCTATTGTACAAGTTGGATTGGAAAATAGATTGCCAGGAATTTTATTTCATTGCCTATTAATTATATTTGACTTATCTAAATTTTAAAAGCCATTGCTTAAGTATGACAGAACTTTTAAGGGTAGGGGAAAGTGAGTGTTAATATTAAAGTAGATTTGCACTTGATTTTTTAAAAAAATCTGTTCATTTAAAAGAAAATCTGGGGAATTTAGTTATTTCTTTGTGATTCTTTTTACTTTAAATTAATGGCACACTCTTTTCCCTCCCACACAAAAAAAGTAAACCGTATCACCCGGTTACTACCTGCCTTTCTTTTTATTTGAATCATTTGAAAGGCTGCAGCTTTTTAAATCTGTCAACATGTTAGTAATTTGTGTGGGTTTTGGATATGGTGGAAATCTTATCTACCTTAATCAGTCAAATATGTTTTTAGGCTTGTTTAGAGGTGGGTTTTTGTTGTTGGCTGGATGGTTTGGCTTCTTGGTTTTTGTGATCTATGAGAAAGGGCCCAAACAACATGGCAAAGTATCAGTTCTTTGCTAGGCTGGGTTATTATTGAGAACTACTGGCAGTTTATGTGTTCAATCGAAGTTTTTAATCCATAGAATTATTTTCAATATGAAATGAGTAAATTTTGAAGTAGGCCTGTGACTTAATACCAACAGTTGTTTTCTGGCTTTGTTTTTCCTCAAAACAGGAAGGGGATGATTATGAAGTCATTCCTAACAGTAATTTCTATGTATCCAGAACGGCCTACAGAGATAATACTTCTGTCTATCACATAAGTGGAAAGAAAAAGACATTTAAGGATGTTGGAAATCTTCTTCGAAGCCATGGAATTGACTTGGACCATAATAGATTTTTAATTTTACAGGTAAATTTATTAAAGACTTCAGCGATTCTCTTATTCTTGTTACTTTTTTTCTAAAAAGCTAGGTTGGATGAATCCTGTGTTTTTGAGGCCTTAAAGTACTGTAGCAGCACATCATGGTTTACATACTACAGTCAAGATGCGAATCATTATTTGCTGCTCTAGAAATTTAAGGAAATTCATTCAAAACTATGTTTTCATCATCTGATGTTCATTTTATGTTTGGATGAACTGACATTCTTGTTCCACTCTAGCAGCACGTAAATATTGGCGTAGTGAAATATATATTAAACACCAATATTACTGTGCTGCTTTAGTGTGACAGGGATATAGCAACTATATCATGCTATATCAATAGCATGTATTTCCCTTTAAGGTAACATTTTAAATGTATAATATTTTAATAGTTGATGCTTTTCCTTTGTTTTTGTTCTTATCTCTCCTGTTATATAACCCAAAAAATGAAAAAATCTGTACACTTAGTGTTTGATTTACCTAAGCACCTAATTAATTGAATCTTTGTAACACTTTGAATGGTTAACTGAACATTTACTCAGATTGGCTTTTGTTTTGTTGAAAATGACTTAAACTTGGTGGAGTCATTACTACTGAAAGAAAAATTTTGATATACATTCTTAAGTATCACAGCTGTTAGAGAACAAGTCCTTTTAAAGAGATGTAAAAATTAAGTACCTGGTGCCGAGTTTATTTTTATTAGAAACCTATATTCTTTTAAGTAAAAGTATATTCTACCAGCATGGCTTGGTAAGAAAAATCCTGTATCTTTTTTTTCCCTTTCCTCCAAATTCAGAATCTTTCCAAAAAAAAAAAAAAAAAAATCAGGGTAAAACCATGGCTTGTCAAGTTCCTGTTTGATTCGAGGATATCTTCTTTTCCTGTGTTCTATCCAGAATCACCAAAGCATAATAATAAAAGCAAAAAACTGTTTTGTGATGCAGAAATGACTGAAATAAGTAGGGAATTTTGATTTGATACTAAAAGTTTTGTTAGGATGACTGGATGTTCCTAGTAACAAACATAAAACGTTAGCCCCTGTTTTCATTTTAGTCTTTATTCAATTGTTTTTAAAAATTATTACTTTTAGACATTTATAGCACACAAGGTAAATCAATATCATTCTAGGATAACCTTTTTTAGTATCTTTTATTACCAGGCACAGTACATTTGCAATACTTCAGTCTAAACTTACTTAAAATGAATGTTGAGGAAATTAATTGCAGATATATTTCTAAACAAGATTTGCATTTATAGAATGTGGCAGTAAAGCATTTTGTGTATTTTTAAAATCAAATTGAACTGTTTCCTTGTCTTTTATATTCTGGAACTTGGTTTGATTAATTATGGATAAAAAATTATGTCCCTATATAATACTAAATTTGATGATGATACCAATTTGTAGGAAATTATGTTTATCTTTTATTCTTCTAAACAACCGTCATCCTAGGATAATCAATGTTTTACATTTATGCAAAGATTTAAGTACACTGTATTTTAACCCTCTTAAGGATAATTTTTTTCTCTGTGCAGCATCTCTGTACATAATTCAGTAATAAAGGAGGCTAATGTAATGTCCCAAGGGAGTAAATAATTTATAAATTGTCAAATTTATATTAAATATATGCTTCTAAAATATATGGGATGCTAAAGCCATTCATCCACATGATAATCGGAACCTTTTTATGTGATCTTTACAATTATTTAAAATATTTCTTCTCAAATAATACCAAGGTAAATGTTCCAAGTTAACAGATTCAGTTTGACTCAATTAAATTTACAGATAAGGACCTTAGGAACTTATCTGTTAGGAAGAAGAAACAGAGATTGGACTAGGGTAGAACTAATAGTGCCCAATTAAAACTTTGAGAGAAAGTGGCAGTGGTTTCTATGTTTAGTCACTTATGAAAATCTCAGACTCTTAACTGGCAATTTAAAGCATTTGAAGGTAAGTAAAAATGTGTTTTTTATTACCTTCTCTCCTACTGGATAACATCTATCTTAAAAACTGATTTGGGAGGCTGAGAAATTGGAAACAACATCATAGTGTCAACATCCAAGACCTAAAGGATTACTTGGAATAAAACGCTATTTGGCCAGTAATAGTGATTAACAGCAAAGGCAATCTAAATTTAGTAAAAGAAAAAATTTATTTTTAAGATTAAAAAGAACCAAATGTTTTTAAATTTTTTCAGTGTTAATATATTGGTTTAGCAAATTTTTCAAGTAGGCATTTTTATTAATTACTTGCATCCATTAAAAATTTCATTAATTGGCCATTCAAATGAATTCCTGTTAAGGGCACTATGCTAAGATGCTATAAATAATATAAAGATGGCTAAACCTTGTTTCTTGTCCTTAAAGACACATGCTTGCCCTCAGAAAGTTTTGGATTATGATTAACCATTGTATTTTTTTATAATTATACATTTCCTTTTGTATATACCTTCTTTGGGAGCCTTTTTCCCATCGTAATAAGTCCATACAATGAGAGTTTTATTAACTCTGTATAAGAAATTCTTGGTTAACTGTGACTTATAAATTAGGGGTACTTTTGCTCCATTCAAGGTTAGAAGAATGGTTATTGCTTTTACTAAAAAGTTGTATTAATGATTGCTGCCTTAGGAATATTTTTGTAAACTCAAAAGCTACAACTATTAGCACAACTGTAATTTTGTCAAAATTTTCAACTTCATATGCTCTTGTTTTCATATTACAAAATCTAAAGTTTGAAACAAAAACCAGGCTGGGTGTGGTAGCTCACGCCTGTAATCTCAGCACGTTGGGAGGTCCAGCAGGCAGATCAGTTGATCCTAGGAGTTCGAGACCAGCCTAGGCAACATGGTGAAACCCTGCCTATAGAAAATACAAAAATTAGTTGGGTATGGTGACACACACCTATGGTCCCAGCTACTCAGGAGGCTGAAGTGGGAAGACTGCTTAACCCAGGAGGCAGAGGTTGCAGTGAGCCACGATTTTGAGACAGAGTCTTGCTCTATCACCCAGGCTGGAGTACAGTGGCCTGATCTCAGCTCACTGTAGCCTCTGCCTCCTGGGTTCAAGCAATTCTCCTGCCTCAGCCTCCTGAATAGCTGGGACTACAGGCACACACCACCATGCCTGGCTCTAATTTTTGTATTTTTAGTAGAGATGGGATTTCACCATGTTGGTCAGGCTGATCTCAAACTCCTGACCTTGTGACCCACCCGCCTCATCCTCCCAAAGTGCTGGGATTACAGGGGTGAGCCACAGCACCCAGCCTAATAACCAAAGTTTTTTAAAAAATGTAATTTAGAGATATGATTAACCTAGGTCTGAGTTGCTGCCTGGCCATCTCTTCTTTTTTCCAATGTACTTCTCCTAAGCTTGTCTTGTAAACTACTTGGGTTGCAGTGTCTTAGTCTGTAGAAATGAGCCTATACTATAATATCTAAAGAAACTTTTAGTTTTTTCAGTAATACCTCAGTTTTCCGAAGGTGTCTGATTCAGTATCCAAAACTGTTGGGGGAGGTGGGGAGCAGGAAAGAAGCTACCTCCAACCAACCAGAAGTAGACATCAAGAAGTTCAACTACTAACAAATTACTCTTTCTGTTTATGAGCTTATTTTAGAAAGATACTAACCTTGGTGATTTAGTTTCTTGGCCTCTGGTAGCTTACAAAGATCAAATTAGAGTAAAACGTATTAGAGGAAGATAAAGAACAATAATTTGTAGTACAGTATAATAAAAGATGCAGAAAGTAAAAAGATGATCAAAATAAAATAAAAACTTGAAGTCCAGTAATTGTAGGCCATTTAATTTTTGTGCAAATACCCATATTTGCCATAAGATTCATTGAAGCCTTCATCGTAATTATAAGTAAAAATGAAAGAACAATTGAGGCCTTACTAGGAAAACAAAACTTTGTTATAGCTATGTACTATTTGAGTTTTCTGTAGTTTATGTATGCTAAAATTTGGATTACATTTTAGTGAGGATAAAGGGCATCATAACCTATTCATTCCTCTTAGATATTTAAGCAGTATTTCTGTAAATTAGATTCTCAAAAGAGTGGTAAAACTGGATCATAATATCCTTGTGTGCCACTCAACAAAGTCTTCCACAAATTAGGATTTAAGCCCTTGATATGGTAAATGCACTCTTGAAGCATGTTTGCTGTTTTTGTGTGACTCCTAAAAGCCATACTTTATCTTTTCCACAGTTGCTTAATGTCCCTGATACAGTAGGAATGTAATTTAAAATATAGGAAGTTTGTAGTAAATAACAGTGGGGGTGAAAAAGCGTTTAAGACCTTGTTTCCTATGCTTTAAGCTATAGCAAGAAGAGATAGTAATGGGAGCATATGAAACTTTGTCAGCATCAGATAATAGTATCATAGTAACTTGAAACATCTTTTGTGTGTAATTGTGCTAATCACGATTTGTGATTTGGATTGATCCTTGATATGACTTTAAATTCAGGTTGGTATTTAAAAATTTTTTTCTGAAATATATTGAGTTTATTGCCCTACATTAAAACCATATTCTATAATTTTACATGAGTTCGGTAAGTTTTCTAAAGAAATAAGAGTCCTTTAGGTGCGGACAGTCATTCCACAGATTACATAAGAGATGGCACAAATGGAAAAAGAAGGAAGAAAGGAAATGGTAGCAAGTGGTAGGGCAGGCAAAGGACCTGAAAAAGCAACAAGAAAAGTCCCAGGTTATCATTGGAATACCACAGTAGTCTTAATAATCAAAGGACAAGAAAAGGCAGTCTTAAGACTGAATGTTATATGGGATTTAAGATGGAACTATTTTGCTAACTGTACACTGTCTCTTCAATAAGTAATTTGCTAGGAGAAATATGATATTTTTAAGGAATATATATTTTGTCTTTTTTTGTTGAGATGGAGTCTTGCTCACACTGTCACCCAGACTGGAATGCAGTGGTATGTTCTTGGCTCACTGCAATCTCCACCTCCTGAGTTCAAACTGCCTCAGCCTCCCGAGTAACTGGGATTACAGGTGCCCACCAGCATGCCCAGCTAATTTTTTGTATTTTTAGTAGAGACAGGGTTCCACCATGTTGGCCAGGCTGGTCTCAAACTCCTGACCTCATGATTCACACCTACCTCGGCCTCCCAGAGTCCTGGGATTACAGGCGTGAGCCGCCAAGCCTGGCCAGAAGATTTTTATCGGTGTAAACTGTTAACACTGAATCCCAACTTTTAGCTGTCTGAAAAATGTATACTTTTAAATAATACTTTATGGCCATTTGACTCAAATGTAACTTCTCTTGGGATGGTTTTTTATTTTCTTAAGTGTTCACATATTCACCTTGAATAGGGCAGAATATTAGTTGTCAGATATTGTTTGTTACTTGGATTATAAACACTAACCCACAGAAGTTAAACTATCACTTCTAGACTAGGCATGGTGGCTCATGCCCTTTATCCCAGCATTTTGGAAGGTTGAGGCAAAAGGATGGCTTGAGCCCAGGAGCTCAAGACCAGCGTGGGCAACATAGGGGGTCCACCATCTGTACAAAAAAATTTTTGTTAAAGATTAGCTGGGTGTAGTGGTGCGCACCTGTAGTCCCAGTTACTTGAGATGCTGATGTAAGCAGACTGCTTGAGCCTGGAAGTTAAGGCTGCAGTGAGCTGAGATTGCACCACTGTACTGCAGCCTAGAGAGTGACACCCTGTCTCAAAAAAATAATAAATGAATGAAAAAACAAACTGCAGTCTCTAGATCAGTGGTTTTCAACTGGCAGTAATTCTGTGCTCCTCCTCATACGATACTCAGCAATGTCTAGAGACAGTTTGGTGCCCAGTTGGTGAAGGTGAGTGATGCTACTAAGGCATCGTATAATGCCCAGCATAGCTCTCCACACAAAGAATATCCAGCCCAAAATGTCAGTACTGCCACTGTTGTTAAACCCTACGTAGAGACAAACTTTGAATGAGACTCTTGGCTTCCTCAGTGACTAATGTTCATCCTGTTGTAATCTAAAGGTTTGGACATTTTTCCAGGCTTTAATCCTGTCTAAAACTATTGCTGCAAACGTTTAGAGAGAACTAACATTTGAAAGCAGAATAAAATATTTCATATAAATATCTACATATTTTCATCTTTATACTGATTCATACATAATGTTATGGAAAATAACTTTTGGGTAACAGTTTTACTTTATATTTGATAATCATTGTGTTAATAGATTGTCAAAAGTATGGAAAAGTGATATATACAAATAAAATTAGGCCTTAACGAGTAGATTTTCAAATAAGCTGTATTATCTTGTGCTCTGTTGTTGTCTACTTTTCGTAATTATGTTGAGGCTTTTGGTGAATATAATACTCTCATTAGTAAGTTTTATCCCACATTTTTAAGGCTCACCTGTACTCACTTAGGAAATGAGAATCACTAAGATAGTTAAATAGAAAAAAAACAATATACTATTTTTAATGTGTAATTTTTTTGTTGACTTTTTTCATCTTACCTATTTTGCTGAAAATAAGAGGTATATCTTTTTTCACTTGCCTATACCTATTCTTCCATTATAATAGTCTGGAGTAAAAACAGGCTACTTCTATAAAGTAGCAGCATTTGGCCTGAACATATTCAGATACAATCTTCTCTCCACCATAAAACAAATGGCTGCCTGGCAGTCAGCCTTGATGGTTACTTATTATGAATTTTTTTTTCTCTTCACAGTTAAACTGCATAAATGCAAATATGTAAAGTTAATCTAAGATTTTGATTACAGTTCAAAGTTGTTTTATTAGTGCTTACAAACTAAAAGTTTTCTGATGTCTTATGTACCAGTGCCATTAGTTTTCTCTAGTCAAGGTGGTCAGTTTGATTTCTGTTATTACTGTGAGAAATAGGTAATACCCTTTTCTGTTGAAGGCTCTTGTTTTTAGAAAATTAAACATTTAAGTTTTTGACTACCTTTGAAAACCATTACTTGTTAAGGAACTCATAATGACAAGGTTTAGAGAGGAAGTTAGTAATACTACTTTGGGACAGGGTTCCTAGCATATTTAATCATGCGGGTGTTTTTGAAAATTATTTTAGAACAGGAGCTTCAGTTGTGTCGACAATTGATAATGTTGCCACTATAATAAGATTGCAGATTTAGTGAATGCTTACCTAAATTTTACTTAAAGAAACAAGTTTTATTTATTTATATTGAACATTCTAGATGGGGAAATGAGTGTGTATTACACTTTTATAAGGATTTATCTAAGGGAATATAAATTAATGTTTTGTATCTCCTTATGTAAAATTAAGACTCTTTAAGAATAACATTTTTATTTATACTTTATTAAATCTTTGCACTACTTACTGTATGTTTTCACATGTTTATTACTCTTGGCATTGTTATTTAACTGCTCCTCATCCTCACTTAAGATTGATTTAGCTAAACATATACAGTGAGTATGAAATATAACTTTTTTTAAAGGGTGAAGTTGAACAAATTGCTATGATGAAACCAAAAGGCCAGACTGAACACGATGAGGGTATGCTTGAATATTTAGAAGATATAATTGGTTGTGGACGGCTAAATGAACCTATTAAAGTCTTGTGTCGGAGAGTTGAAATATTAAATGAACACAGAGGAGAGAAGGTGAATCTTCTGTAGACTTTGATTGTAAATCAGTGTTTGATTTATGATTTGACAAATTATACTAAGATACTCATATATCTTATATTCAAAGTATGTACTAACATTTAAGATGAACATTCTCCTTGTTAATTGTTTTTATCTAATGATGGCATATTTTAAGTTCATATTGTGCATATGAAGTGTGTGCTCAGACTTTAAACTTTTAATTTCTATAGTTAAACAGGGTAAAGATGGTGGAAAAGGAAAAGGATGCCTTAGAAGGAGAGAAAAATATAGCTATCGAGTTTCTTACCTTGGAAAATGAAATATTTAGGAAAAAGAATCATGTTTGTCAATATTATATGTAAGTGCCTTAATTTATCAGTTTTTAACCATTAAGTCAAAGCCCTTCTCTTTTCCTAAAGAAACATGAAGACTGAAGTGAAAAAAATCTCTAAACATTGTTTTATGTAACTGGACATGGTAGTTTATGCCTGTAATTCCATTACTTTGGGAGGCAAGCGTAGGAGGATCACTTGAGGCCAGGAGTTCAAGACCAGCCTGGGCAATATAGCAAGACCCTATCTCTACAAAAAAAATTATGTGGTAAATTTATCACATGTGAGGGCAATCTGACTGCGATATCTGTCACCCCATTGATCACTAGGGTTGAATTTATTAAATTGGGCTTATTTATCAGTTCATTGAAGTTGACTTTTTAGTATCCTACATTAAGTTGAAAGTTGGGTTCGCGGGTATTACTATAGTTAGTATTTTTACATCTGTACTTTTAAAAATTCATGTAATAGCACAGATCTGAATTTTTTTTCCACTTACAATGAACTTTTTTGAGACAGGTCTTGCCCTGTCACCCAGGGTAGAGTACAGTATGCGATCACAGCTCACTGCAGTCTCAACCTTTCTGACTCAGTTGATCCTCCCACCTCCACTTCATGAGTGGCTGGGACTATAGGGCACACAACACCTGGCTTGTTATTATTGTTGCTGGGTTTTTGTTTTTCTTTTTTTTTTTTTGGTAGAGATGGGGTTTCGCCATTTTGCCCAAGCTGGTCTCAAACTCCTGGGTTCAGGCAGTCTGCCTGCCTCAGCCTCCTAAAGTGCTGGGATTACAGGTGGCAGCCATGGCATTGGTGGAGTGAAACCTATTTTTGTTCCTAAATTCTAGCGTTGACCCAGGGGATTTTATCCTCCATAGCCTAGGTAGTCACATATTGACTGTAGTTAATAATATTTTAGAAACAGCTAATTTTACTAAAATTGTTACACGGTTTTAGAAATGGCATTTTAGGAGCTTCAATTACTTTTTGTTTTCCTCCCTCTAGTTATGATTTGCAGAAACGAATTGCTGAAATGGAAACTCAAAAGGAAAAAATTCATGAAGACACCAGAGAAATTAATGAGAAGAGCAATATACTATCAAATGAAATGAAAGCTAAGAATAAAGATGTAAAAGATACAGAAAAGTAATAATATTTTGGAAAGTACTAAAAGTATTTAGATTTAGTTAATTTTATTACGCGTGTATTTATATATAAACTTATTGCCAACACATGAGTGTAAGATGTTTGCCAGCATATCAAGTGCTGGCCCCCTTGCTGGGGGTGGGAAAGAAACTTGCCTTGCATCCAGTTCATTATTACAGATCAAATGCCCAACTCTGAAGTCTTAGAACTATGGGGATGCTACCCCCTAGTGGTGTAGCACAGTAACAAACTATAAAAATAGCATTTGACTTGACAGGATAATTTTTTAATAATCCACAAATCTGATAGAGGGGTAGGATTTGGGTGTTTCTAGATCGATTTTTAAGGATTTTATCATGTCCCTACTTTATGCCATTTTTCAATGATACTAGTATCTAATTATTTTAAAGAATAAAAAATTTGTATACTAAGTTTATTGTATAGTAACTTGGAAGTATATTCATAAAAGTTTTAAAAAAATTTTTCTGTGGTAAGATTTTTATATACCTAGACATTGTGGTCACTAGAAAATGTGGTATTTTCCCTCCAACTTAGAAGGGCAAAATAGCTCTCATCATGACAAATATAGGCGCTTCTTCAACTGTGGGGAGAGGGATCATCTTGGAATAGGGAAGCTTAGGATCCTGCCTTATTAAAGCCTGGACATATTTATAGAGGAAGTGTTACAGGTAGGAAATATAACATGGCTTTAAAATATCTGAACATTCAAAATAATGACTAATAATAATATACTTGCTTTGCTAGGAAACTGAATAAAATTACAAAATTTATTGAGGAGAATAAAGAAAAATTTACGCAGCTAGATTTGGAAGATGTTCAAGTTGGAGAAAAATTAAAACATGCAAAGAGTAAAGCCAAAAAACTGGAGAAGCAACTTCAAAAAGATAAAGAAAAGGTAGGTGTTAGGAAAAAAAAGTCTTAAAATTTCATGTATGAATATCATATCTCGTTTTCATAGATGTGTTTGCCCCTTATTGTGTAAGAGAATGAATTAATATTCTAAATGTTGTTAGATTTGTCTCTCAACATGATTCTGCCCCACCAAAGGAAACCTTGCTTCCATTGACTTTGTTTTGCAGGAGGTTTTTTGCTTGGTTTTGGAGTTTTATAGAGATGGGGTCTCAGTATGTTTTCCAGGCTAGAGTGCAATGATATGATTGTAGTCTTGAATGCCTGGGTTTAAGCAATCCTCCTACCTCAGCCTCCGAAAGTAACTTGGACTACAGGTGTCAGCCATTGCTCCCAGGTCGACTTTGAGTTTTATTATAATAAAACTCAAGTTTAAAATAACAATAATATATGTTATTAGGAAAACATTTACCAAATCAGCAATTCCATTTTGGTGTTAATTTTGATTTTCTTTTTCAAGTAGTTTTTAGAGATCTTTAGATGAGGTATCACAGACTTAAAAATATTGCCTGTCTTCTACAAAAACTAAGCTAACAGGATCAGAACAGGATTTCTCCCTTAAGAATTACCGATGTTGGCCTTTCAGCTGGAACCGTCGTCTTCCAGCAATTCGCCAAAATGACAAACAGAAAGGGAAAGAGGAGAGGCACCCAATATATGTTTTCTAGGCATTTTAGAAAACATGGAGTTGTTCCTTTGGCCACACATATGTGAATCTATAAGAAAGGTGATATTGTAGACATGGTAACATTGTTACCATGGCAAAACTGGAAGCGTCTACAATGTTACTCAGCATGCTATTGGCATTGTTGTAAACAAACAAGTTGGGGCAAGATTCTTGCCAAGAGAGTTAATGTGCATATTGAGTACATTAAGCACTCCCGAGATAGCTTCCTGAAACTCGTGAAGGAAAATGATGAGAAAAAGAAAGAAGCCAATGAAAAAGGTACCTGGGTTCAGCTGAAGTGCCAGCCTGCTCCACCCAGAGAAACACACTTAATGAGAACCAATGGGAAGGAGCCTGAGTTGCTGGAATCTATTCCGCATGTGTTCATGGCATAATAGGTGTTAAATCAACATGTATTGAGAAAATAGCTATCATCCTGTATGTTTTTTCTTTAAAAATGCAGACTAAATAAAGATACTTTCAGGAAAAAAAAAAAAAAAAAGACCTCTAGACTGTTTAAAACAAACACACACACACACACACACACACACACACACACACACACCCCACCCCACCCCCCCAAAACCAAAGTTGGCCAGGCATAATGACTTACACCTGTGTTCCTGGTGTTTTGGGAGGCCAAGGATGGAGAATTGCTAGATGTCAGGAGTTTAAGACCACCTAGGTAAGATAATAAGATCCCGTCTTTACAAAAATATTAAAAATTAGTCAGGTGTAATCTATTCCTTATGCATTCATGGCATAATAGGTGTTTAAAAAAAAAAGAAAAGAAAAAAAAAAAAGACCTAGACTGTTAAAAACACACACACACAATCACAAAACCAATGTTGGCCAGGCATAATGGCTTACACCTGTGTTCCTGGTGCTTTAGGAGGCCATGGTTGGAAAATTGCTTGATACCAGGAGTTTAAGCCCACCTGGGTAATATAATAAGATCCTGTCTCTACAAAAATATTAAAAATTAGCCAGATGTGGTAGAATATGCCTATAAGTCCTTCCTAGTCAGGAGACTGAAGCAGCAGCATCCCTTGAGTTCAAGGTTGCAGTGAACAGTGATCAAGCCACTACATCCAGCCTGGGTGACAAAGTGAGACTCTGTATCTTAAAAAAAAGGAGAGATAGGAAAACTCATAATTTGGAGTCTCTTAAGCCATGTTCATGTTCATAGCTCTATCATATATAAATAGGTAGGACACCTTAATCTCAGCCCCTCAAAAAAAAGCTTTGTTCCATATGGTTGCAGAATAATTACAGATTAGGCCCTGCTTTACACTATAAGCATTTTCTAAATGTATTTCTTCACAAAATACTTTCTGCTTAGCACAGCTGATAAATATGTTGTCGGTGTTTAAGGAAACAGCATTTTGGGAATGTTGAACTTCACTGAAACTAGATGCTCAGAGTAAAGAAAATAACAAGGTGCTTTGGGGGTAACCCCCGAATTGGGCAGACTTAGCTAAGTGTAACTGTTACAGAGACATTAGCCTTTGGGCATAGAATGTGATTATTATCAGAAGATGTTAATGGAATAAAATACTAGCCCTACATGGTGACTGTGGAAGAGTAAAGTTGTGAACGATTTTAGGATTGGGGAGATGGTAAATATAATTTGTGGTAAGTTGTGATATACCAGGAAGGATAGTTTAGAAAATTCTGTGTAGTCATATTTATAGCTAAAGAAGAACAATTACAACCTGAAATCAGGAGAGAAGGATGACAGACCTAAGGCCCTGCCAGAGAGAATTTTCCTCTATAAGAAATTAGGTGTTTTTTGAAGTAATTTTACACCATTAGATTGAGAGAATATAGAAATTATAGTAAATGGCTGGGAAAATACATTAAAGTTAGCCAATTTAACTCTGATTATAAAGAAAACGACTAGAGGGCCCTGAGAAATGCCTTTGAATAAGTCAATATTGATAGTATTGGGTAGCATAAAGATGTAGGCTCCTGTAACTTGTTTTTTAATCTCAGGTTGAAGAATTTAAAAGTATACCTGCCAAGAGTAAAAATATCATAAATGAAACAACAACAAGAAACAATGCCCTTGAGAAGGAAAAAGAGAAGGAAGAAAAAAGATTAAAGGAAGTTATGGATAGCCTTAAACAGGAAACACAAGGGCTTCAGAAAGAAAAAGAAGTAAGATTATTTTTATTAATCAGTGTTTGTTTTGGTGGCCTTTTTATTTTTAACTTAAAGATTATTTTTGGCTGAATGCCATGGCTCATGGCTATAATCCCAGCATTTTGAGAAGCTGAGGCAGGTGGATCACAAAGACAGGAGTTCAAAAACAGCCTGGCCAAGATGGTGAAACCCGTTCTCTACTAAAAATAAAAAATTAGCCGGGCGTGGTGGCAGGCGCCTGTAATCCCAGCTACTCGGGAGGCTGAGGCAGAGAATCACTTGAACCCAGGAGGCAGAGGTTGCAGTGAGCCAAGATCGTGCCACCGCACTCCAGCCTGGGTGACAGGGCAAGACTCTGTCTCAAAAAAAGATTATTTTTTCAAAAATACTGAAATCTGAACTGGTAAGTTTAAACTTTTAATACCCAACATTCCTAAAACTAGTCAACCTAGACTTAGACTACTCTTTTAGTTCCTGCTGTCCTGTTTTTTTTTTTAAATAAAGTTAATGAGAATTTGTAGTAGTAGTAGCAGAAGATGTGATGTCAAATACAGTACCTTGATTATTATATATGCCACTCCTAAGCAAGTTGAATCAGCATCCTGTTTTGTTGCCAACTGTGAAAGTGTAAAGCTTCTATAGCTCTTGTGTGTTAAAAGCTGTGGCTCTTGTTTCAGTTTGTGGTTCAAAGCCTAGCTCAATCACTTACTGTCTCTGTTCTTGTGCTGATTGTTATGTCTCCAAGTCATCTTCCTTAAAATGAGGGAAAATATATCTACTTTGTGAAAATAAAGAATAAATATATAAGTACCAAGAAAGAAAATAAATGTTAGCTATAATCTTAGCACTTTATTCATAAAACAAGAGTGTGAAGTTGTCAGATTCATATGTATTATCATCCCAACAAGAGTAAAGTATAAAATTAGCTATCTTTGTTTATATGTACCACAGCATTTTGACAGTGCTGAGCATGTTAAATACATACTTGAATGGATAATAGCAGTTGACTGCATTAAAAAGTCATGGACTTTTAAATAGAGTCTGCTTTGGAGTATGGACATGTTCTAATGTCATACTAGAAAACTTTACAAGTAGAATACCTGTGTGATAAAGTAGCAATGGATAATGCAGTAGTTTTCATGATGGAACACTTTATGGTTAGTGGATTTTCACTGTTTGTTCACTTAATATATATTGAATATACATGTGCCCTGCACCCCATGTTAATGACAAAACTAGGCCTTAAATGTCTTCATTCCTCAGCATAATCATCTACCTCACGAAGCTCTTGTGAACTCAATTGGGAAGAGACTGTATAGTGAATATTGACAAGTAGGCAAAAACTAAATCTAGTCCACTTGTAAGACTTTTTATATCTATATACTATGCTCGTAGAATCTCCTTTCTTAAATTGAACATAAAATATGGTTTTATTTCAGTTTAGGTTTGAAAGTACATATCTGTCCAGATTTAATGAACTCATATTTTAACAGAGTCGAGAGAAAGAACTTATGGGTTTCAGCAAATCAGTAAATGAAGCACGTTCAAAGATGGATGTAGCCCAATCAGAACTTGATATCTATCTCAGTCGTCATAATACTGCAGTGTCTCAATTAACTAAAGCCAAGGAAGCTCTAATTGCAGCTTCTGAGACTCTAAAAGAAAGGAAAGCTGCAATCAGAGATATAGAAGGAAAACTCCCTAAAACTGAACAAGAATTAAAGGAGGTAAGTCTTTGCTTCTCTATTGCATCAGAACATCATTTGTCAGCTTCAGTTTTACACGTTTGTTGTTTTTAATCTCAACATCTAAGGTGACTAGTGATAGATAAATTTTCTTTGTTTTGTATAATCTCAAAAGAATGAAGTCAGCATTTCAGTATTCCGTATGTGAATTGAGAGTATCAAGAAACTAACTATATTCTCCCCAGAAGCATTATACAGTAAATCACCCTCACCACCCCACTGTGGAAATCATTTAAACAAAAGAAAGTTTGTGTTTCTTTAAATCTTAAGTATAGACAGTTTATTTAAAGATAAATAAAAAACATAAGTGTGTATATACTTATACAAACTATCTTAGTATGTTTTTGGTTTTGAATTTATGGATGTAGTTTCTTTACTGGCATTCCAAAATGTTATAAACTAACCAAGATATGTAGCTTAGCTCATCAGTGCCCGTCACCCATCCTTGAGTGAATTAGACGTTTAAGGAATTTCATAAACTTTAAAATAATCTCCAAAGCCTCAGTAGGCAAGGTGGCAATAAAAAAAATTCTGTTTGAAGTGAAATTGTACTGAAAATAAATGAGTCTTTTTTCATTTTAGTAAATGCATGCCATTTGGTCATCAGGGAATTTCATGACCATGTAGAATTCAAATGTAAATTAAGTTAGATCCAGTGACTACTTCTATCTTCCTGGTGACTCAGTTTCTTTTGGGATGAATTTTGTCAGTAACTTGGTTTAGACTATCCCAGTGCAGTGAGTAAGAGAAATAATTTAAATCTAGTAGATGGAGGAGAATACCAGTTAGAAAAGATGGCTGCTGCTAAGTTGAAGATTGAGAAACTGAGAGGTTGTGTTTATGTGTGCATGTGTGTGGTTCCTCTCTTCTTGGGGGCCTGGCACTTTTGTACAGCAATAGGACTATCCAGTCATCTTTCTCCCATTCGTTTCAGAGATGCTCCTTTTCTCCCTCCCCCATTATTTAGCTAAAATCAAAGCACAGCATAACCATAGTCCTGCCCAGTCATTCATACCTTGGATCCTCTTTCGACGTCTGCTTTTAAAGGGCAGAGCTTAAGAATTACGGCACACGTATATAACTATGTAGTGTCAAACTGGGATTTCCACAGCCCCAGCTCTACTTTATCAGGATGAACTGCTCCTGGAACAATATTACATTTATGTTTTCTTTTATTGACCCAAGTAATTTATGCCTCTTTTAAACCCATCCCTATTTTCCACAACCAAACCACAATTCCAGTATAGCTGCTCAGTGTCTGTTCAAGTTTTTATTGTTAGTCGTTCTTTTCTTTCTTGTTATTAAAGCATTACAACTAATTCAGTGCTATGATTGGTCATATTTAGGAGTTAACACTTGTGAATTTTATTTTCACTTTTAGAAAGAAAAAGAACTTCAAAAACTTACACAAGAAGAAATAAACTTTAAAAGTTTGGTTCATGATCTCTTCCAAAAAGTTGAAGAAGCAAAGAGCTCATTAGCAATGAATCGAAGTAGGGGGAAAGTCCTTGATGCAATAATTCAAGAAAAAAAATCTGGCAGGATTCCAGGAATATATGGAAGATTGGTAAAGTCGATTTTTGGGGGGCATGGCTGTAGATTTTTTTTAAGCAAGTGTAACTTATTTTTTTGCCTTGACTTAAACAACTGTATTTCAAGTATCACTCACTATATATAAAATAACATTCATTTTGTTTTCAGGCACATTTATTTTTAAACATTTTGCTCTTAACAGTTTTTTGTTTACTTAGCTTTAGATAAATACAATTATTTCATACATATCCAGAAAAATATTAGTAATGACACACAAACTTAAAACCACTTTATCCTTTTTTTAAAAATGAGAATTTAGCCTGTCACAATGATGTGTGCCTGTAGTTCCAGCTGTTGGGTAGGCTGAGGCAGAAGGATCACTTGAGCCTTGGAGTTCAAGTCCATCCCGGGCTCCTTCAAGACTGTTTTTTAAAAAATGAAAATTAAAAAAAAAATAAGAATTTGATATATTTGGGGTTTCATAACATTTTACTTAGGTTTTGGCTTGCATTTAGGGATATAACAAGGGATAATCTAAAAATCCAAGACCAGCAATAGTCAGGACCATTAGTGCTCCTGAGCCATGAGGGAAGCGAGTTGTGTTCCAGAGGAAATGGGGAAAATAGATACCTTAACCCCACCCATTTTCTGTCCTCCAGTCTTAGCTGAAACCTCACATTGGCTGAAGCTGGAGAGTCAAAGGAGCCAGTTTATGCAGTCCTTAAATCAGGCTTTTAGAGAAGGGAACAGAGTGATTCAGAGGGCAAATAAAAAATTACCCAACATGATTGCTTCTACATCTTGTATCAAGAGAGTTCCACCTTATTTTCTTGAGGATAAACACAGTTGGATCCTATTCATTTGCTCTCAAAGAAAGCCCAAACCAGTGAATGTTGCTAGATAGCTATGTAATAGATTGATAAACAGATAAATGTGTTGCATCAGGATTTACATAATTTTAGATGCTTTTCAATAATTAAGTTTTCTGAGTTTTTCTGCTTGCTGTCCATTTAGGTTTCATAGCTTCACATTGTTTTCATAAAATGAAAACATTTTTTTATTTTTATTTTTTGTTTGTTTTGTTTTTTCTGTTTTGTTTTTGTTTTTGAGACGGAGTTTCACTCGTTACCCAGGCTGGAGTGCAATGGCACGATCTCAGCTCACCACAACCTCTGCCTCCTGGGTTCAGGCAATTCTCCTGCCTCAGCCTCCTGAGTAGCTGGGATTACAGGCATGTGCCGCCATGCCCAGCTAGGAAAACAGTTTTTTCATTTTGTGCTCATTAGAAATTGAAGCTTCATATTCATAAACTTCTACATATTTTGTTGTGTACTCTTTTGTGCCCTTTAAAACCATGTATACATAGTTTTTCAATTAAAAGAACTTTTTAAAACTTGATGAATGAAATGGTCCTGTGCTTTTTGCCTAACTCTTTTTTCCCCCTCCTCTTAATTATTAGGGGGATTTAGGAGCCATTGATGAAAAATATGATGTGGCTATATCATCCTGTTGTCATGCATTAGACTACATTGTTGTTGATTCTATTGATACAGCTCAAGAATGCGTAAACTTCCTTAAAAGACAAAACATTGGAGTTGCAACCTTCATAGGTTTAGATAAGGTAGGTATTCCTAATAATCTACCTGTAATTGAATTTTTAAGTGCTAAGTGGTTTTTTTCTTTCTGGATTCTAGCTTTTTCTTAATGGTTACTCAGCGAACACCTAATGGGTTTTTAGGATTATTTTATGTTCTGGGGTTATATGATTACAAAAAATAGTTTGACATATTACAGTGTCTCCACTAAAGGAATATACATTCCAGAGTTAAAAGGAAACCCTTTATTGAGATAATTTACCTCCAATAAAATTTAACATTTTAGGCTAGGTGCAGTGGCTTATGCCTGTAATCCTAGCACTTTGGGAGGCCAAGGTGGGCAGATCACCTGAGGTCAGGCGTTTGAGACCAGCCTGGCCAACATGGCGAAACCCCATCTCTACTAAAAATACAAAAATTAGCCAGGCATGGTGGCAGGCACCTGTAATCTCAGCTACTCAGGAGGCTGAGGCAGGAGAATTGCTTAAACCTGTGTGGAGGTTGCAGTGAACCTAGGTTATGCCACTGAGCTCCAGTCTGGGCGACAGACTCAAAAAACAATCATTTTAAAGTATACAGTTCAGTTTTAGTATATTCACAATGTTGTTCACCTATGACCACTATCTGATTCCAGGATATTTTTATCACTCCCAGAAAGAAACCCCATAGACAGTAACAGTCACTCCTTACACCCTTTCCCCCACCAAACACTAATCTACTTTTTTGTCTCTATAGATTTAGCTACATATAAATGGAATCGTACAATATGTGGCCTTTTTATAAAGCTACATTTACTTAGCAGGTTTTCAGGTTCATCTGTGTTGTAGCACATATCAGTACTCATTCCCTTTTATTGCCAAATGGTATTCTGTTTTGACGGGTATGCATCATTTTGTATAACCATTTTTCAGTTGATGGATGTTAGTGTTTTCACTTTTTGGCTGCTTTGGCAATACTTCTGTTAGGAACATTTGTGTACAGGTTTTTGAGTGAACATGTATTTGAATTCTCTTGGATATGTACCTAGGGTAGAACTGTTGGGTCATATGGAAAGAGTAGTAGTTTCCATGTAATTCTATGTTTAACTTTCTGAAGAACTGTCAAGACTCCATAGTGGCTGTACCATTTCCCACAAATATGTGTAAGGGTTCCATTTCTTTACATCCTTGTTAACACTTGTTATGGCATATCTTTTTTGTTATAGTCATCTTAGTGAATATGAAGTGTATCTCATGGTTTTGATTGGGATTTTCCTCATGACTTATGACAGTAAAAGTCTTTTCATGTGCTTGGCCATTTGTTTATCTTCCTTGGAGACATATCTTTTCAAATCCTTTGCCCGTTTTTTAATTGGTTTCTCTTTTCTTTATTGTTGAGTTGTAGGATTTGTTTGTTCTGAATACAAGTCTCTTGTGAGATACGATTTACAGATATTTTACCCCATTCCTTGGATTGTATTTACACTTTCTTGATGGTATCCTTTGAGGCACAAAAGTTTTTAATTTTGATAAATTTCAATTTATCCTTTTTTCCTTTGGTTGCTTGTGTTTGGGGTATCATATCTAAGAAACTACTGCCTAAGCTAAGATCACAGTGATTTACTAAGAGTTTTATATAGTTTTAGCTTTATATTTAGGTTTTAATCTATTTTGAGTTAATTTTTTTATGTGATACAAAGTAGGGATCCAACTACTCTTTCCATGTGGCTATCCAGTTATTTCAGCACCATTTGTTGGAAAGATTATGCTTTACTCTGTTGAATTTTCTTGGCATCCTTATTGAAACCACCCAACCATTAATGTAAAGGTTTATTTCTGGGTTTTCAGTTGTATTACTTGTGCTGGTATAGCATACTGTCTTGATTATTGTAGCACTATAATAAGTTTTGAAAACAGGAAGCCTGAGTCCTCTAATTTTGTTCTTTATCGTATTGGCTGTTCTGGGTCCCTGGAATTTGTATATATTAATTTTAAGATCCAAATGGTCAATTAGTGCCACAAAAAAAAGGGGATGTGTAATTGGGATTTTGATACAGGTTGTATTGAATCTGCAGATCCGTTTAGATGATATTGCCATCTTAATAATATTAAATCTTTAGATACACAAACATGGGATGTCTTCCATTTATTTAGGTCTAATTTTGTAACTTTTGTGTACAATTCTTGTTTCTTTTGTTAAATTATTCCTATGGTTTGTTTTTTGTTTTTGTTTTTGTTTTTTTACTTTTACTTTTAGATGGCTGTATGGGCAAAAAAAATGACCGAAATTCAGACTCCTGAAAATACTTCTCGTTTATTTGATTTAGTAAAAGTAAAAGATGACAAAATTCGCCAAGCTTTTTATTTTGCTTTACGAGATACCTTAGTAGCTGACAACTTGGATCAAGCCACAAGAGTAGCGTATCAAAAAGATAGAAGATGGAGAGTGGTAACTTTACAGGGACAAATCATAGAACAGTCAGGTAATAGTGTTTTTGTTTTTTGGTTGTTTTTTTTTCTCCCAGCATTGACTTCATTTAATCTTGTTGGGGAGACATCTAAAGCTGACTTCTCTCCCCTGTTTTCCAGGTACAATGACTGGTGGTGGAAGCAAAGTAACGAAAGGAAGAATGGGTTCCTCACTTGTCATTGAAATCTCTGAAGAAGAGGTCAGCATATCTAAAATTGTAGTCAGACTTTTCTTTTAAAAAAAATAGCTTTACTGAGATGTATACATACTACAAAATTTGGCCATTTTAAGTATGGTGTACTAAAATTATAGAAAATTCAATCTATTAAAGTTTACTAGGAATTTTTCATGTAAAGCCATTTAAAGTTCTATAAAACAAAATATTAAATTAGAAAATATACACTGAAAATATATTTTTTAATTAGTACATTTGGATCATATGGATATTCCATAATTATTTCTGATTTACATTTAATGTATTGGGTTTTTTTTTTTTGCATTATTGCTATATTACATAATTTAGTTCAGAAAATTCTTTATAATTATAGCAAAGACTTCTTGATGCACATCTCAACTTCAAAGTATTTTATACTTTTTTCCTCCTCAAAAACATGTTCTTAGATGTCCTGAATACCTTTTTCCAAAGTATTGTACTTAATTTCCCCCTTCCCATATTTTGAAAATATGAGTTTATATCCTTCCACTCAAGTATTTGAATGTTTTGCCTTCACTGAAATAATAGGTGACTGTACAACACTTAGTTACCTTTCCACCTGATTATTTGATCAAGAAATTACTTGATCATCTCCTGAACTTTTGATTGGGATTAGAACTGGGTGGTTTGATTTTTGTTCTAGTCTTTAAGATTAGAAGTTTTAGGCCAGGCATGGTGGCTAACGCCTGTAATTCCAGCACTTTAGGAGGCCGAGGTGGTTCGATCACAAGATCAGGAGTTCAAGACCAGCCTGGCCAACATAGTGAAACCCTGTCTCTACTAAAAACAAAAATTAGCCGGTGTGGTGGCACGTACCTGTAGTGTCAGCTACTCAGGAGGCTGAGGCAGGAGGATCGCTTGGACCCAGAAGGCAGAGGTTGCAGTGAGTTGAGTCTGTGCCATTGCATTCTAGCCTGGGAAACTGAGTGAGACTCTGTCGCTCAAAAAAAAAAAAAAAAAGAAAGAAAAGAAAAAAAGATCAGAAGTTTTAGTTTTCTTTGTAAGTTGACTTTCCTGTCAATCTGAAATGGCTCTTAGGGAAAACTTTCTTTGTAGGTAAACAAAATGGAATCACAGTTGCAAAACGACTCTAAGAAAGCAATGCAAATCCAAGAACAGAAAGTACAACTTGAAGAAAGAGTAGTTAAGTTACGGCATAGTGAACGAGAAATGAGGAACACACTAGAAAAATTTACTGCAAGCATCCAGGTGCGTGCATGCGTGTGTGTGTGTGTGTATATTAACTGAAAACTGTTGGGATTCAATAGGAATTTATCAGAACCATTTTGGTATTTGCTTACAATTTATAATATATATAAGGGAGGGAGGGAGAAGGATCTGTAGGCAGATCTAACTCTTGTTGATTTTATTTCCCTGAGTACTAACTGATTGATAATGCCCTGTCACAATGTTGCTCCAGACACAGCTATTCCTGTTTTCCATTTTAACTCCATAGAAACATGACTTGCCTTAACAACGATATGACCCTTTATTTTTAATCTCTTTTCAAAGTGGAATATTTTCTTAATTACGAAAAAGCAACGCATGCTCACTGTTTTTTTTAATAAGTTTTCAGAAAATACCCAAATGATCATCACCTTCAGTTTTGATGTATGTTCTTCAACTTTTCTAATATCTAGTTTGCATGTAATATATATATGTGGTAGATATATGTATATATATAAAGTATGCATATGGCTTTTTTAATGTCATATTAACTTTTTTTTAATAAATTACAGTTTTCTTTCCAAGCCAGTATAAATTTACTTTGTTCTTAATTGCTTTAGAACATTTTATTTGTACCACAATTTGACAGAGGTTTTTCTGTATTATTATGTACATGGCTGTGTTAAAAAAAAAAATCCTTGTGGGTATACATTCATTCAGTTATTTCCTTAGATTTCAAAAATTACAGGTATCACACCATATGTGTACAATGTTTAAGGCATTTGTTACATAATGCCAGATTATTTTCAAAAAAGGTTATAAGTCATGCACCACTAATAGCATATTCAAATAATTATTTTTCTGAGTCTTTGAACACTAGGGTGGTCTAAATAAGTTTGCTACCTTGTAAACAGAAATGTGGCATTCCAACTTGTCTTTATAATTTTGTGTTTGTTGGCCATTTTCATTTTTTGTATCAATGGTGTATGTCTTTTGCCCTTTTCCTATTGGTGTTTCTTTTTCTTGAAGATTTTAAGTGCCCTTTTTAAAATTCACAATGTTTAAAGCAAATGTTAAAATATTGACCTTAAATGTTAAAACTCCTCTCTAGCGTTTAATAGAGCAAGAAGAATATTTGAATGTCCAAGTTAAGGAACTTGAAGCCAATGTACTTGCTACAGCCCCTGACCAAAAAAAGCAGAAATTGTTAGAAGAAAACGTTAATGCTTTCAAAACAGGTATGTTTAAAGATAGACTTTTTTTTTTTTTTTTTTTTGGTCAAAAACAGCTTTTTAAAGCTTGCAGTATTTAAGTAGCAGAAGCTAAGTATATTCAAGTCATTGCACTAAATATTATGGTTTTTAATACTAAAAAGTAAGTGCTATTAGTCTCATTTGACAAATAAGGAAATTGAGGCACAGAGGTTTTTGTTTTTAAATATAATTTGCCTAAGGTCACACAGCACGTGGTAGTATAGAAGTAAGTGTTACAGTCTGATTTTTAATTTCACACTTTTTATACCTTGTCCCTAATCTTTCCAAAACCCCTTCAAGATAGTAGTTACAGATTTAGAAAAACTAAATCACTCCAATAACACAGGGAATAAGTGGTATGCATTCAAAGAAAAACAATGTTTAGTTGAAAACTTAAAATACATATATTTTCTTTCTTTCAAAACTTCTTGTGCACATATAGACATGTAAGTGTTCTACCAAAATAGAATCTTTAAGCAGGAAAAGGAATCTACAGGCAAAAATGGCTTTGTAGCTTTAATTGAAATCCCCTGATCACATACCTGATCAGCTGTGATTGTCTTTCCATGTTGGTTTCAATCAAACATAGATGTACATCTTACTGAGAGAGGAGATGGTGGGTTATGCCACAGTCCCCTTCCAGGCTTAGAGAATCTTAGCTAGTGACTCCAGCAGACACAGCAAGCTTCATTTTATTATTAAGAAGGATTCCTGTTGCAGTTTGCTTCATGAGCCAAGGAAGACAAATACTGATTAACCATCCCAAAGAACCAATGAGAGTGGAATTGGAGCAATTATCCAACTGCTCCCAAAATGAGGGGATTTTCTTCTAAAAGAAATTAAAGTGTTGACACATTTGTACAATACATATCAAATGTTCATTTATACTCATATTAATTTGTATGTATATGTCTCTCTATATATCTAATATTCAGGCACTCACGTAGCATCTGCTACTGGCCAGGCTTTGTTTTAGGTCATATTGATAGAGCAGTAAACAAAAATAGTTTCTCTTTCCAAGAAGCACACATGTAAGATGGTACATATTTGAATGGAGACCCAAAGAAAGTGTGAGTGGTAAACTGTGTATATTTGAGAGAAAAGCATTCCAAGAGGAGTATAAAGGAGCAAAGGCTGAGGTAGGAGTATACTGGTAATACAAACCATTGTGGTTGGAATAAAGGACAGGATCCCAGATCCTCTGGGGCCTTCAACCACACTCCCCTTTCCCTACAAGTACCCACAGCAGCAGCTTCTCAACGGTCGGTTGAGAAGCCAAAATGTTTATCTGTGCCATTAATGGGAACATTTTCATGGAGAGACTGCAAGAATCTGTGTTTCATCCTTACTTGGAAAGGAATCCTTGACTTTATTAGGAGCTCTTTATATCTTAGAAATGATGCATATTATCAGTAGACTCTGTTAATGTCTCATGTGGAGGGCCCATTTGTGTGAGCATATCTTTAAGATTCAATATTTTCTTTTCCATTCATTGAAGTTTTAAAAGTATATTACATTGGCTAATGGCAGAGAAATTGAGATGCCATTACAGTAATTCAGGCAAGATGCGACTCATAGCATATTTTTTAACTCTTGAACATATTCATATTTTTAAATAAACAGGCTACAGTAAACCTTTATGTCTAAATGTGTACAAACATTTTATATTTAAGGTAAATATAAAATGGGCTAGGCATCGTGGCTTATGCCTATACTCCCAGCACTTTGGGAGGCTGAGACAGACGGATCACTTGGGGTCAGGAGTTTGAGACCAGCCTGGCCAACAGGGTGAAACCCTGTCTCTACTAAAAATACAAAAATAAATTAGCCAGGTGTGGTTGGTGGCACACACCTGTAATCCCAGCTACATGACAGGGTGAGCCTGGAAAATAGCTTGAACCTGGGAGATGGAAGTTGCAGTGAGCCAGTATCACACCACTGCACTCCAACCTGGGCCGCAGAGCAAGACTCTGTTTCACAAAAAAGGCAAATTGTTAAATATAGAAGAGTGACGTCAGAATTGTTGGCTACACATGCCACAGCTTTTCCTTTCTAATTCTAGTTAGACATACTACTGTAGGTATTAAAAAAGAAATGCACTGCAGGTCCTTGAAAACAAGAAGGAAAATACTCTGTTGAATTTCTTTTGGAAGGGTATTCAGGGATAGAAGCCTTCCTAGCTGCATGCCTGATCCCGCAATCACTGTGAGTGGTGCTGCTGGCTGTCAAGCAGCTGTTGCTCTACCCTACAAGTGAGCCAAGCACACAGGCACAGCCTAACAGAATTTCAGCCACGAAGATCATTACTGTGAGCAAGTTAATCCCATCAACAAATGGAGTAACTTAGACCTGAAAGAAGTGATTACCAGTGTTAGCAATATATAGGACTTTTAAATGTCTATGTTTAATATTCTCAAGAAAGTAAGGAGCCATCCATAAGCCCCCCAAAAAGTATGGTTTTGTTTTGTTTTTTTTGCTTTGCTTTTGTTTTGTTTTTAGAGCCAAATAGTGATTTCAGATACTTGAAAAATAGAGCTACTGGAATTAAACTCAATAAATGGGATAAAAAGTCGGGCTAAAGAATTACCTGATAATATAGTACAAAAAGATAAATTCCAACATCTGCCTAAAAGAGAGCAGAGACAAAGGAAGCAGTAGTTATATCTATCCAATCCTTTTCTCTCAGCAAATCCTACGTGCCTAATACCCACGTACCATAGGAGCTTTATGGGAGCCTCCACCAGTTATCTCAACATTTTTTATTGCTTTTCAGTATCCTTGATAGCTTGAATTTCCCACCTTTTTGCTACCTTTTCATTGTTCCTATATTGTATAGTGATTCAGATTCAAGTATGGAGAACAGAATCCACTATGACTAGGATAGGATTTGTGTGGTCGGTGGGTATGGTGGAGAGGGACAGGGTAATACATTGTCTACAGTCATTGGGATGTCTAAAGAGAGTTTCTAGATAAAACATTCAAAAATAATTTATTAAGAAATAAGAAATTTCTCTACATTTGGAAAGTAATCTCTCAAATTTGGAAGATGACACTACAAGTACCAACAGCAGAAGTACATTGTACCTATTATAATCCATACCATCATAGTCAATGCCACTGCCTGTTTGACTGGACGCCAGACCCTCTAACTTCATTACAGAAAATCCAGACCTCTGTGTGAGTGCTTGCCAGAAGAAACATGCCCAATTTGTTTATGACTTGCAAATTATGCAAGTACTTTTGATTGAATTGACCTAAATTACATCTAAACCCTATCTACAGGGGAATCTGGGAAATGTTAACTTTGACCCTTCATTGTCACAGGGAGGATTGCTAATTGATCTTATATCCTCCACTTATAATGTGGAGAACTGCAAAGTTATGTTAGCAGAAGAAAATAACCACAGTTTCTTCACTGTGGGCAAGTGAATACTGAGTTAAGCACATAGTGTGTCTAAGGCTAAAAATTATTATGAACTTAGTAGTCAAGGAAGTGCCCTAAGAAAAGCTGAAAAGACACTTTAAAAGAAGCTGAGAACATGAAGCCATTAACAAATGGTGTATTTACAGCTGAGCCAGAGAATTTAACCTGTGTGTTACTATAATACCATTTGTTTTGATACGGGATATAGTTTTTTTAAGGTGCTTTTTCCCATGTCTAAAATTTGTTTTAACGCATCCTGTATAGTCATACTGACTGAAGAAGTGTACATCTAACAAATGATGTTCATTATCATAGAAACACAAATTAGGTTCTTTATTTTTAAATTTCAGAGTATGATGCTGTGGCTGAGAAAGCTGGTAAAGTAGAAGCTGAGGTTAAACGCTTACACAATATCATTGTAGAAATCAATAATCATAAACTCAAGGCCCAACAAGACAAACTTGATAAAATAAATAAGCAATTAGATGAATGTGCTTCTGCTATTACTAAAGCTCAAGTAGCAATCAAGACTGCTGACAGGTAGAGTATGCATGTTATCTAACCTGTTTTCTCTTTTCCTACCTTTACATTGGAAAGGTTACTATTTAATGTTCCATAAAATGTTTCTTTTACTGTTAACTTATTAAACCTATCTGACACATTACCCAATAGGACTTTCGTGACGGAAAACCTATAATGAACATTTATCCTATGGCCAAGTAAAAAAGCTGGTAAACAGGTCTGCCATAGGAAAGTGCAGGTAGACTTTATTCTGTGCCCTATTGTTGTGAGGGCATAGAAATCAGTTTTGTTTCTCTGGTCAGGGAGAGGGAGTAGTTGGTCATTAAATAGATACAGGCCTTAAAAGAATGAAAGAGGTAAAAATAGGATCACTTAGCAAAATTAATTCTCTTGATAATCTACATTTTATTTTTTAGTTTTAGTTTTTGATACAGAGTCTTGCTCTGTTGCCCAGGTTGGAGTGCAGTGATGTGATCTTGGCTCACTGCAACCTCCGCCTTCCAGGTTCAAGCAATTCTCCTACCTCAGCCTCCCAAATAGCTGGGATTAGAAGTGTGCGTCCCATGCCCAACTAATTTTTGTATTTTTAGTAGAGACAGGGTTTCACCATGTTTGTCAGGCTAGTCTTAAACTCCTGACCTCAAGTAATCCACCTGCCTCAGCCTCCTGCTGGGATTATAGGCGTGAGCCACCTTGCCCGGCCTTAATTTTTTTAGAGTATTTATTGACGTGTTTCCAAAATAATTAAAGCTAGGTATGTATATAAAATATTGAAATTTAAACAGCCATTTCATTTCTTTTTTAGAAATAAATGATTGCATATTGATTATCCGGTTAAATTAATCCAGAGTGTTTTACTCAAAGATAAAGAGCTAATAAGGGAGAAGTAGTGTTTCGCTCTTTCAGAAGTACTTGTTGCCTTGTCTTGAACTGGAAAGCATTTGAAGGTAAAACTTTATGGGCATAGAGATTTAAGAATCTCTGATGAGAAAATGACAAGAATTTGATAACTTAATGAACAATGTTGCATCAATCTAAAGTTAGATGATATAAGCAGCTTATGTAAGAAAGACCTTTTTAATGAAAAATACACAACTCATCCCACAAGTGTATAAACCTACAAAAATTGATTTACAAATGATTTTGTAAATCATAAATTTAAAACTCAATGTGACATTTTTTCTATTCATAAAATGTCATGAAAAGTTCTTTAGTAAGTTTTTAGAAACAATAACGAATCACCACATTTTCGATGCATCATTTTGCTTCTTTAGAAACCTTAAAAAGGCACAAGACTCTGTCTTTCGTACAGAGAAAGAAATAAAAGATACTGAGAAAGAGGTGGATGACCTAACAGCAGAGCTGAAAAGTATTGAGGACAAAGCAGCAGAGGTCGTAAAAAATACAAATGCTGCAGAGGTAAGACTTGCTTTGTATTGAAGAGGAGATGGGATGATACTGGAACCAATTTAAAGAGGTGGATATGTGACATCAGTGCCTAGAATGTAGTAAGCACTCATAGATTAAAAGTTCTATAACTGAATTTTTATTTGTACAATAAGAATGTTATAATTTGTGAATTTAAATGCTTAAACTATTTTAAAATGGAAGGGGCATGGGGAGAGATTGGTAATTTCCTCATCTTTGTAATGTGAAAATGACTGCTCTATTTGGGAACTTTCTATCTAGCAGCTCTTTTTTGTGTTTAGAAATCCTTACCAGAGATCCAGAAAGAGTATCGCAATCTGCTTCAAGAATTAAAAGTTATTCAAGAAAATGAACATGCTCTTCAAAAAGATGCACTTAGTATTAAGTTGAAACTTGAACAAATAGATGGTCACATTGCTGAACATAATTCTAAAATAAAATATTGGCAAAAAGAGGTGAGACCGTTACCATTTAGTTTAAATATTCTTTATTTTTAAAAAAAGGGTTTGGGGAGGATTGTAGGGGTTGGGGTTCTTAAATTTTGTTGGTTTTGTTTGTGACCTATGTTGTGATTGTTAATTCTATGATCACTTCTCAGGTTTATATGGGACATAATGAACAATATAAATTGTTATATACAGAAAAGTCTGAGTGATTGTTAGACAACTACCCTTTCACTGTGGGACTGATCTGGACGTTTAAGAAAAGATTACATGAAGACTTTTGAGTGTTACAACTATTTTTCTTGAAGTCAGTCCTTTGAAAAATAATGGACACACAAATCAGTCACAAATCCTATTGTTTTAATAGCTGTGTAATTTGTCATTTTTTTCAAACAATGAATTGTAATATTGTGCCTTCTAACTCTCCCTTAAATTGAACTTTTAGATTTCAAAAATATCATTGCATCCTATAGAAGATAATCCTGTTGAACAGATTTCAGTTCTAAGCCCAGGGGATCTTGAAGCAATCAAGAATCCAGATTCTATAACAAATCAAATTGCACTTTTGGAAGCCCGGTGTCATGAAATGAAACCAAACCTCGGTGCTGTTGCAGAATATAAAAAGAAGGTATGAAGAACAGTTTACATATACTAGCTGGAATTCTTTTTAGTCAGCGTAAATTAACAATGCTGTCGGCAGGGCGTGGTGGCTCATGCCTGTAATCCCAGCACTTTGGAAGGCTGAGGCAGGTGGGTCATGAGGGCAGGAGTTTGAGACCAGACTGGCCAGGATGGTGAAACCCCTTCTCTACAAAAGATACAAAAAAATTAGCCAGGCGTGGTGGTGCGTGCCTGTAGTCCCAGCTACTCAGGAGGCTGAGGCTGGAGAATCACTTGAACCTGGGAGGTGGAGGTTGCGGTGAGCCAAGATCACACCATTGGACTCCAACCTAGGCAACAGGGCAAGACTTCGTCTCAAGAAATAATAATTAACAATGCTAAGTCTCATATCAAATTTATCGGAGATTTTTCCTATCATAACATTCTTTTCACAGGAAGAATTGTATTTGCAACGGGTAGCAGAATTGGATAAAATTACTCATGAAAGAGATAATTTTAGACAGGCATATGAAGATCTTCGGAAACAAAGGCTTAATGAATTTATGGCAGGTTTTTATATAATAACCAATAAATTAAAGGAAAATTACCAAATGCTTACTTTGGGAGGAGACGCTGAACTGGAGCTTGTAGACAGCTTGGACCCTTTCTCTGAAGGAATCATGTTCAGGTTTGTAATCCCACTGTTAACCTACTTCTACATATTCTCCAAACGCAGTATTTCTTAGAGGTAGGACGTGAAGGCAAGGTGTACAGCTTGTTTTATTTGATGATAAATACTAATTTGTTTCCATGCTGTTTATGCTTGCAGTTTACAGGGGCAAATAGCCAGTATTGACAAAATATTTGTCTAGTTCATCTTTTAAATTTTCAAACCATTTTAACATCAGGATTGAGAAATTATATTTGGTAAGGGGAAAGAATAGCAAGAAGTATAAGTACTTACCTCGCTCTTTAAATCTTAAAATTTTGATATGTGTTCCTATGTATTCATCCTCCAGTGTTTTTATAAAAACAGAAAAAAGTTCATATTTGTGAAAAGCAAAGAACATATTCCTAAGAGAATATGGCATAAGGCAATTAATGGAAAACAAATCATGAGGCCTTAACTTTAACTATACAAGTAATTTGACTAAAATTTTCTTAATCATTTCAGTGTTCGACCACCTAAGAAAAGTTGGAAAAAGATCTTCAACCTTTCAGGAGGAGAGAAAACACTTAGTTCATTGGCTTTGGTATTTGCTCTTCATCACTACAAGCCCACTCCTCTTTACTTCATGGATGAGATTGATGCAGCCCTTGATTTTAAAAATGTGTCCATTGTTGCATTTTATATATATGTAAGTAATCATTTCAGGATTTTCATTCCAGAAACTTACGGGAGTACCCTAAGCATTACACATGGAATTATTTATTTCTTACTATTGAACTTTTCTTTATTCTCTGACTCCATCTCCTCTGATATCACTGGAGACCAGATTATTTTTTATTTGAACCAAATATTTCCATTTTGGAGGATTAAAATATAAATTAAAAATGCAAATTAATCACAGAATCACAGCCAAAGTCCTAGGTCATTTTCCTAGATTTTTTCCACTAGAAGTCAAAATAACCACATTCCTTTCAAACTCGAATACTGTTTTATGAATTATTCCTGCCATCATTCCTTTACATGTTATCAACGTAATGTTTATTGTCCAAAAAATATTTGAGGTTACATGTTTGTGTGATTTACCTGTTACTACTTAACATTTCTTATTCTTTCTTTCTCTTTAGGAACAAACAAAAAATGCACAGTTCATAATAATTTCTCTTCGAAATAATATGTTTGAGATTTCAGATAGACTTATTGGAATTTATAAGACATACAACATAACAAAAAGTGTTGCAGTAAATCCAAAAGAAATTGCATCTAAAGGACTTTGTTGAACTTGTTTATACTGAAGATTCTTCAAATTGATTCAGTGTATTACTGATTTTTTTTTTCTATTTGTAAAGGATTATGAGTTGTATAAAATACATAGTCCTTAAACTAGATCACGAAACTGGTTTCTATTTTATGCAGTTCCGTCATTTATAAGGTCTAATAAAATATTCTCTGTAACTACTTCTAGATTACAAAAATATGACCATTTTGTAAGTAGCAGATAATGGAGAAAAATGAGATACCTGGAGGGTCACATAACTTACCCTTAGTTCCAAGTTGCTGCCAGCAAAGTAAAAAGTATGTTAGTTGAGGCAAAGTCCTAAACTAGCTTATGCTATCAAGGCTCAGCATACCTTCATGGGCCTTTGACTTACCTACACTAGAAAAGCCTGCCAACTGATCTTGGATCAATTCTTTAAGGCATTCCACTTAGCTTGCCAGTTTAGACAAACACCAGTTATTACCCAAATACTAAGAACATATTTTTGTAAACCATTCTGAATTATAGTGATGAGAATTTACATATCATATGCTTTTCTAAAATTTGATGTGTTTGACCACTTATGACTTAAAAGAGAGCCAGTAAATTAAGATAGTGTCTTAACAAGCTTAGCCTGTCTCATAAGTTGAAAAAATCCCACTATAGTTGCTTGATGAGTATGAAGTAAGATGGCCCGACTTACACTGGTTCGACTTACAAATTTTCAACTTTATGAAACGTTTATCAGGGTACTCAAATGCATTTCAACTTGATGGTTTCAACTTATGGGTTTACCAGGATGTAGCCCCACTGTTGGAGCATCTGTATGTGAGTAATCTTTGCCTATAAATTTGTCAGGGTATTTTTACACTGTTGGCTCAAGAATGTTATAATGCTACTGGACATAGTTGGCAACCACTTGGTTTTTGGAAGGACTTGCAATATTGAACTAGAAGTCTGCCCTAGCTATTTAATTCCTGGGTATTTATCCTAAGGAATTAGAGTTGTTTCTTCTGTGGACCATTGTTTTTGATATTAAAAAAAAAAAAATACAACAGTTTGTATCATGTAACTGTAAAAATGTAAACACATTTGTAGCATGGCCTTTTAAATAAAGCAAGATCTGAAATTCAAGTATGGTAATTTGTTCTAAATCAAGAATATATAAGGAAAAACGTTTAAAATGCTATAATTATAATCAAGTGTTTTCACTTGGTGGGAGAAATGAATAGAATTTAATACTTCATTATTTTTTTGGCAGAGCATCTCAGTTACCCAAGGTGGAGTGCTGAGGCAAGATCTTGGCCCACTGCAACCCCGCCTCACAGGTTCAAGGGTCAAGGATTCTCTTGCCCTCAGCACCTGTAGGGGCTGGGCCTACAGGTGCACAGCACAGTGCCCAGCTACTTTTTGTATTTTTAGTAGAGATGGGGTTTTGCCATGTTGGCCAACCTGGTCTCAAACTCCTGGCCTCAAGTCATCTGCCTGCCTCAGCCTCCCAAAGTGCTGGGACTACAGAGATGAGCCACTGCACCCCAGCCTGCAGTACTAAGTTTCAAAGAATTAGAAGTACTTAGAACCACCAGCCAGGTGCGGTGGCTCAATCCTGTAATCCCAGCACTGTGGGAGGCCGAGGCGGGTGGATCACGAGGTCAAGAGATCGAGACCATCCTGGTCAACATGGTGAAACCCCATCTCTACTAAAAATACAAAAAATTAGCTGGGCATGGTGGCGCGTGCCTGTAATCCCAGCAACTCAGGAGGCTGGGGCAGGAGAATTGCCTGAACCCAGGAGGCGGAGGTTGCGGTGAGCCGAGATCGCGCCATTGCACTCCAGCCTGGGTAACAAGAGTGAAACTCCATCTCAAAAAAAAAAAAAAAAGTACTTAGAACCTGTATGAAAATCCCATAGCTACCACTCCTGAGTGGAACTCTCATTAAGCCACTCAGTGCAAATATCAAAAGGAGTTTATTAAAATCTTTTATTATAAATAAAACAAAAATATTTTAAGATTTATATATGTTAACTTTTGCAGTCTTCCTCCAGGTAAAAATACAAAACAGCAGCATAAGAACCAGTTATTCATATACTTTATTTATACATAACAAAATGAAAAATTTTACTAAAAACTGGCAAGACACAATGTCAATAGTATAGATACATAATTTTGTGTTTAGCTATAATTCCTACCAATTATAAACCCTTATTAATCTTGGCCTACTTCCTTAAACTTGAGTGATAGCATGAACTCTGAATATAATGTATGGGTTCTCTCACACAGCTATATGGCCTTGGGCAAGTCACTTTTGTCAGTTCCCTCTACAAAAAGTAGGGGTTAAAAATATTCACATCACAGAAATGAGAGATTAGATGGCATACATTTCATTGCTTATGTGTATTTTAAACTACCAGGCACTTTTATGGTGTGACTGGTATAACGAATGCAACTTAACATTCTTATCTCTACCTTAATATCTGAGTGTGTCTCTCCTTACCTCTATTAATCCTTTAAATGTTCTTAACCCACACAATAGTTAATTGTGCTAGGTGTAAGTCTGATTCTAATCATAAATTGACTTAATGAAGTTATGTTAATGTTAAGACTTGTTCTCAGCAGATATGAACTTAAGTTTTACAGCTAGTTCCCTGAAAAAGCTGTATTTATTTATGATAGTTTATATGCAATCTGTAGAGCCAGGAACATTGTCTAATCTGACCCAAAACATCTTTTTGAACTAGATAAAGAGCAGCCCTTTTGGGATTTCTGGAAAGCAAATCAACTTGCACTTAGGGTTGCATGGACAGTGGGCCAAAAGTCATAACATATGCATCATAACTCCAGTCTCTGTTAAAGGGAACTAGAAGATTTTGATTTAATAAGCTCTCTTAAGCAAAGCTAAGAATATAAAATAGTTGTTAGAACTTCTGCATTAGCTTTAGGGAATGTTATGGAAAAGTTTGTTTTTGATATGAATAAAGTCTACAGGATGCCATCAAAACCTGTTGCAGAGCAGTTCACGAACATGATCCTGTTCTAATAAGAATGAAGGGTTTTTAGTTTTTTGAGATGGAATCTTGCTCTGTCACCCAGGCTGGAGTGCAGTGGTGCAATCTTGGCTCACTGCAACCTCTGCCTCCCAGGTTCAAGCAGTTCTGCCTCAGCCTCCCATGTAGTTGCAACTACAGGCACATGCCACAATGCCCAGCTCATTTTCTTTGATTTTTAGTAGAAATGGGGTTTCATCTTGTTAGCCAGGATGGTCTCCATCTGACCTCATGATCCGCCCTACTGGGCCTCCTAAAGTGCTGGAATTACAGGTGTGAGCCACCGTGGCCCGCCAAAATGAATTTTTATCGAAAAACTTATTTGACTGATACATAGAAAAGTTAAATACAATCTTAAATTTACACGAACTATATATGACAAGTATTAGAAAATGCTGAACCCCAGGCACAGTGGCTTACATCTGTAATGCCAGCACTTTGGAAGGCTAAGGCGGGGGGATCTCTCTCTTGAGTCCAGGAATTTGAGACCAACCTGGGCAATATGGGAAAAAAACATTTCTACAAAAAAAAAAAAAAAAAAAAACATTTTTTTAAAATTAGCCATGCCTGGGAGCATGTGCCTTGTCCCAGCTACTCCAGAGGCAAAGGTAGGAGGATCAATTGAGCCTGGGTGGTCAAAACTGCAGCTAACGATGGCCAGAGCACTGCACTCCAGCCTGGGGGAAAAGTGAGACCTCTTCTCAAAAAGTTTTTTTTAAAAAGCCACTGTTCCCTAACAGTTATCCAAAAGCAATAGCTTTATTCGGAGTGAATGCTAATAAATATTTAGGGCTCTTAAATCTACCTAAAACATGTATGTTTTATCAAAAGATCTTTAAGCAATGCTTTATCACTTTAAGACTTTGTTGCTTGATTTTAAAACCTCTTTATCATCCTTATTCACCCATTCAAAAGCTTCAAGCCACATCAAAACAAAGGTATATGTACTTTCAGATTTTGCTATATATAAAGAACTATAAAGCCAATTAACTGCAGTATATAATAAAAGACAATATTGGTACAAGAATGTTTAAATGTCACAGCAACATTATGTTAACCTTCACAAAGCCAATAAAAAATGGGATGGATGGTTATTAATTTTCAAAGTAGTTACTAGATTTTATTTCCCAATAATTTGAATATTTCAGGTATCTCATTTCTAACTTTGACATATCATTGCTAACCAAAAGAAGCAACAAATATAAACAATATTTCTATTAGTTGCAGCGCTAATAAAGCTCAGTTTGCTATTTTTTCATTTAGCAATGGTTAATCTCTACTGCACAGAAGAAGCCCATTTAAACAACTCAGATTGACGTTTTCAATAAGAAACTATTTTCCTCATGAATTCCTTCAATAAATAGAAAATGTGATACAGTATATTCTTTACATCATGCAGACTGTTAGAGAAACTTTGGTAAATGGATGTCGAGGCTTCAGAAAACCATACTAAAGTAATTTCATTTAAAAAGGTTATGATGTGTTGGTTGAAAAAGAGTATCAACATCAGTATCAATGAAATTAATGTAACTATAACAACGTTTAAAATTTTTAAAAATTCAATTCCCTTTTCATCCTTATCAGGCCAGGAACATGGCATCCTTTTTGGAGAAATTTTCATTTTGGGAATGAGAACTTTATTAATTTGTCCAATTTCTGTTCTGTTCCATTCTTCTTTCAATACTTTGCTTACTCGAGGATAAATTTCAACAGGTAGAACCTCAGGAAGTGGTCTTTGTTTCAAGATCTGTACACGCTGGCGTACATCATCAACTTTTTCAAGAAAATTAAGTGGAGACTCTTCTTGTAAAGATGTTGTCAGTGTCATTAATTCAAGCTGCTGCTCTCTTATTTCTTTCATTCTTTCAATTTGTGGAGTATATTCTTGATTAATCAGATTGCTAACATCATAGAGAGCTGTTAAGAAAATTTTTTTTTTCTGTTCTAATGTATCATTAAGCTCCTTAAAATACTGGAGAACAAATTCCTTTTCACCTTGGACCATTTTCTGAGAATGAGATTTTTGTTCTTCCAGCTTTTCAATAAGTTGAGTAAGATCTGTCCAGTGTGTATCAGTCAACTGTTCAAGCAGTTTTTGAGGAGTGTCCTTTTCTTTCAAATAGGCACTTTGAAGGTCATCTATAGGATGACCATGATGTTCACCTATGGTAAGGCAATGACCACAAACTAATTTTTTGTCTAGTAGACAGTAAACATTTAATGGTTGCCTGTAATGTTCGGGGCAGGTGACAATATCTGGATGGTCTTCTTGCTGGTACTTTTCAATAATGGCCCTTAAAGCAAAATTAACAGGTAAAGATTCAATGCCAGTTGGAGCAATTTCAATAATACTTCTGCAGTTAGGGCACTTGAGTGGAATTCGTAAAGGTCTCCATATATAAAAGTTACCAGATGCCTGAAGAACATTTTCCAAACAATTTCTACAAAATGTATGGGAGCATGGCAGTACACGAGGATCTTCAAAAATACTGTAACATACAGGACAAGTTAACTCTTCCTCAAAATTGTGCATTTCCTGTCAAGAGGAAAAAGTATTTTAAGCTTACATAGAGACAGCTGTACATATTAACATTCTAGGCATTAACCTCCAAATTGTTACTACACTGTTTGTCATTTAAAAGAGAACGAGGTATTTTTAGCTGGGCGCATTGGCTCGCGCCTGTAATCCCAGCACTTCGGGAGGCTGAGGCGGGTGGATCACGAGGTCAGGAGTTCGAGACTAGCCTGGCCAATATGCTGAAACCCTGTCTCTACTAAAAATACAAAATATTAGCTGGG